ACAAGCGAAACTGCTAAAACCTTCGGAAGCACGCACACTGCACCCTGGTCGCGTACGCGGGGGCCGATGTCTTGTGAAATTGTGCCGGGCTCTTTAGCTGGCCTTTCTTCTTGACATGGAAATAGGAGAGGCCAATATGAGAAGTCCGTAAGCTACATTGATCACTGCTTTTTTTGGACAAAGCCAAAGCAATCGCGGGTGTGTCTTCTGTCATCAACACCGCCCTGTATTCTGGCGATCTTTCAGGTTTCTCCCTCATTTTCTGGATGCTAGACCGATTTTGTCTAGAAATGGATTTATACTATTCCTGGCGGTAAGAAACTTACATCTTCTTCATCATCTTGAGTATTCCTCGGAGATCGGATAGGCAGGGGAAGTGGGCGATTGACCAGTGCGGCTGGCACAGGTGGTACCAAGACGGTCTCTGGGGCTAAGCTAAATTCTTGATTTCATGCTTTGAACGCCACAGCTCGTGACCTAATCCATGCAGAAGAAGATGATAAAAACCTGATTTGATGTTGGCTAATACTGGACTTTGGACGTTGCTGTCGCGCAGCTGCGTATTGACGAAGAGCCGTTTGATTCAAGAGCACACGTTGAGACAGCGATCTTGGTTGTGGAACTGAAAGAAATGTCATTCAGAAAAGATCACGTTACTTCTGTTGGGCAGGTTCGGTTGCAATTTCTCATAACGGTCGCATGGCCTCAAGGCGAGTGGAGGTACCTAGTTTCAAACTTAGTACGGTAGCGTAAATAGTGGATTGTCGTAGCGCACGGTAGATCACTTCGCACATTCTCGGACTCGCTTTCGGGATGGCCCCACAAAATTGCTTAGCACTAAATAGGACCTTTCTCGACAGCTCCAAAAAAGGGAAATGAAGCAAGAATAATGATGGAATGTTCAACCGACATACAATGGAAACGCGGTTGCATGCATGGTGTCGCAATAGATATCATACAGAGGCTCATGAACTGAGAAAAAGGAGGAGTCGACAAAGGCGTCAAGGCCATGCAGGGGCAGGCTTGTATCGAGCGCCCTGAAATCATCCGTTCCTGCAGCACTCATGCATGGCGGAGCGACAGAAGGATGTGTGCTAGTAGCGTTCATCAAAGCTGGAGCAGAATCCAGGTAGAATCCTTGAGCAGGAGTTGAGCAGTAATGACATCTAGGAAATCCTCGCAGTATAGGCCGCTATAAGCGCCTGGATAATCCTAAGGAGGATTTTTGTAGTTGAAATTTGAGTACCTAGACATGCTCATACAACAGAAGACGCCATGAAATGTGCTTGATGATGCTATTTACGCGCTGCTTTATATACCTTTACATGACTTTCAATAGGGTGTCAGGCCTGCAAGGCCGAAAAAAGAGGTTGTGTGCCATAAACAAGTGCGAAAGATCATGTCCTATGAAGCAATTTGCCTGTAGACTAGTGATAAAGTGCGTGTTATTGATGTCGTAATCTACTTATACAGAAATTAGTTTGCACAGGCCTTCTGTCGGCGCAAACCAGCAACTTAGACGCTCATCGAAGAAGAAGCGCAGTCGTTATGAATAGAACACCTACGTGTTAATACTTCGAAGAATTGTTTTCATTCTTTTCAGCACTTATTCTCGACGATCGCAGTAAATTGAGTCCTTCATATTTTTGGCTAGTGATAAATGCACCACCAACGATCTGCATGTCTTTTGCAACGTCGGCATAAGTTTTCATTGATTTTCCGCATTTTGTACTGCAGTAATAATCATGTTTGTTTGTGTAACATATTTTGCCATCATTACGTTTATTTTGCTTGTTTTGGAGCCGTCAAGGAAGGTCAGTGTCCAGCGCAAGCAATTAAGTGGGGTCACACATAGGTGGGCTCGTGGAGGTGCGAAGTGACCTACCGCACGCTACAGTGATCCCCTAATTACGCTACCGCACCAACTTTCAAACTAAGTACACCGTCTCCCCCCAACCCTAGGCAGGCCAAGTCAGTCGCGGGGACTGCGTGGCCCGACGGCGAAAATTCCTTCATAATTTCAGCTTTCATATTATTTCCAACCCTTCAAGTACTGATTAAGTAAGAGACTTCCACAAAAGCAAAAAATCTCAGCATAATCGACAGGGTAGTTCCGAAACAAAGCAATACTCTCTTTAAATCTGAACCCGCTGTTCTTATCTCGAATGCACGGATCGCGATCGGGCCTACATTTTAGCACTGCACTCAAAATACACGTAAGTGTAAGCTCCTCCCTTAAAAATCATAAACAATCCTTACTCAATAAAATGTATCGCACACCTAAATGGCGGCTCACTTCAGCACCCGCAGTTCAGCCAACGTTGATGCACGTTAAGGTAAGGAGAAGCTGTGGTCCTGAGAACGCGTGGCCTAACGGTGGGCTGTGGCCGCATTCCTCAAGAAACGCACCGCGCGTGTTTTCAGAGAGATCCAGACATGTCTAGAATGTGCGGTTGGCAATGAATTTAAGGAGTATTCCACGACAAGGTTGGAGGTCGAATAAGAGGAAATATTAGGTACCGGATATCTTAGTGTCGTTTTTTCACCACGAGTTTCGGACCACCAATATTTTAATTCAGAATCCGGGGAGTGAAACAGCATATTCATCGAATGACTCATTAGCACTTTCCCATTTACCAGTATGAGTGGAAACCTCGTACGATTAAAGCTAGGAATTTTTTGAGTCGAAAAAGAGAGGTAGGTCGGTTTTGACATCATCTGACAAATCATCCCTCTCACTTGCTAAAAAGTTAGGCCTGGACAAAAGAAGTATACAGTTAGTTAGAGTAGGGTCTGCACTGTATGGTGGAAAAGTTAAACTTACCAGCTCAACTGGACAATTTTTCCCGGAGTCTTTTTTGCCACATAGGGTCAAAAACGCACCCTTTTTGAGCACACGTGAGTAGCAGATGAGCACATTTATTAGAATTTCTTGTGCAATCAACTTCGTTAAAGCGTTTGTGCATCATCGATCAGTCACTGCTAAGGTGTCCTACCATTTCAGCACAAGACTGGTGCAGCCCCGTCTCGACTGATTTAACTAGGGCCACCTTTTTGACGACGATTGCGGGCATCACTTCAAAGACTTCACTGTCTTTTGAGAAAACTGTGAAAAACCGATGAGCATTTTAAATGGTAGTATTCCCTCCAACAAATGCAATGTTGGTTTGGTGGGCGGAAGTTGTAGCTCTCAGCAAGAATTTTGAAGCATTTGGTACACACATGCGAATTTGCACACTGGACCCAGGAATTTTCAAAAAAGTATAAAAATTGGGGGAAAGTTAAATTGTGAACCAACAATAGAAAACAATAAGCAACATATTTCGCAGTATTAATGAGCAAAAAGGACTTTCTGAGATATTGATTTTCCATAGTAATCGGCCCCAAAACTTCCTGAACTCAGAAAAGCGAGCTAGTGGAAAGCCAGACGGCTCCCTCCCTTTCCTTTCCCCTCACACCCCTCCCCGCAAGGGCGCGGAGAGATGTGCGTTCCGCAGGGAAG